TGTGGGCGCGACTGGGCCATGTCTGACAATGTCTCTAGCCATTGATGTGGACCGCCTCGGGGTCCCCATCCAGGAAGACGACAATGACCAGCGCAGCACTTAGTCTGGTACCTGAGCACCGTTTCACACATTCCGATGTGAAAATGAGATATTTCTCTAAAAAATGGCAAAGACAGAGCTGTTTTATCAGATTCCGGACGACCCTTTGAATCAAAATGTTCAGCTGACTTGGAAACCCGGAATCTTCACAATTAAACATGTAGTTTGCGATGCAACCGCACCATAAACAGGTTTTAAGGGAAGAGCGGCTGTAAGAACTGACACTCATCTGCGGGAAAACTGTAGATCTGAACGTACTCTCCTAACGTAACTAAAACATGACGTGCATGGTCGTTGGCTTGTTCGCTGAGCTGGGCAATTTGGTTGCAAACGTTTCATCACCAATCGAGGTGACATCATCAGTGCGTAGTTGTGCGTAGCGGTGGGCTAGTGGTTGTGCATAGACAGTTTCATGAATGATGTTACCAACCCGTTTCGAGCGGAGAATATTCTCCTGTCTAAAAATCCAATTCAAATGAGGTGCTGAAGACAACGCAAATGAAAGAACCAAAGGAGGGGAAAATTTAGGTAAACATTGGGGAATTTTACCAATGCTTGATAGTTGTGGGGTTACAAGGATCTACTATGAAAGCATGAATTCTACTATGATAGCATTGTTTAAAACCGTATAATTACGCCAACATATTATTTTGCAGACGGAACGTTTGATATCCACCCACCGCATAAATCTGACTGGTGAAAATTCGAAAACCATTATTCTTTTACCACAACGACTAACGTGCGTTTACACCTCCAAGGCAAAATTCAGGCTAGAGGAGTGTCGAGGTAGAGTTCACTGTCGGGTCGATGTGTTGAACCGCAGGATAAAACAGTCATCATTCTATTGTCTGGCAAAAACCGTCATTCTACATCATTGTTGAAGGCCAACCCTACACTAGAGAAATGGTTTATAGCTCATAGGGCCTTGAAACAGTTCACTTCGCTTATCGAGCGACGCCCCTTTGATTTATCGCAGGTCATGCGGCCAAGATCGCAACAACGAGGTCGTCACGTGACTTCTATTGATTGACCAACACCAGCTGAACTTTGAGTCGACTGAATGGCAAACAAACAAACAAAGATGACGCACGTAGATTATTGCGCACAGAGGACAAGCAAGTCTAAAGACCATACATTAGATTTGTCTGAATAACGGCTCTTGTTGGAACGTTCATAGTAAGACTTAGCTTCGCTATGAATTCGACAAAGTCCTCAGTCCATGATACATTAAAATCTGCGAGGCCTGATTTGCAGAATCATTTTCGAAAGGTTACTTTCACTCCTCATGGATTGTTTGAGATGTAACCACTGCTTCAAGTGCTCCTTACTCCATCCAGCAGAGTTATCACGTTTTGTTGCTGGTTTTTGAAACCAGTGCTTTGACTTATTATCTCTCGACGTTCTACCAAACACTCTGTACACAGGTTGCGAAACTGTGATGTCCCAACCATATAGTAGTGTCTGTTGTCCGTGCACGTATCTAGTCGCGCATTCTGATGTTTCAATAATCCGAACGGTCTTGAGATTAGAGCGACCTCACTACGACTGTTGAGTTCAAATTTAATCGCGTGTCTGAACAAAAATACTTGTACTGTTAATATTGGCCTGGGAATGCAGGCGGAATCACTCGCTTGAAACGACCGGATGTGCATTCGGACAAATTATTTGATAGTTCCAGAATAAAGAATGATAGAAAAATAGCTCCAGCTGCATTTGAAAGGTAGCTAACAGAAACATTTCACTATTAAATACGGAAATGGGTACAGATTCACGCTAACATCAGTCGCAACCAGGTTGACCATTTCAGAAAAATAACACCCAAGTAGCAAAATACACTCATTTGCAAACAAATTTGGATTCTCGAGAGACTCACCTGGAACCTAGCTGTTTCCCCCATTTATGATATTTCTAAGCAACTGAATGTGCTGCACCAGGCCGCTTCGTGTTTACGTTAGCACAAGATATCGCGATACATGTATAGACGTACTACACTACTTATAAGGTTGCTGAAAATTCCTTTTGGAAGCATTCCAAACTATTCTACGTATTGACATTCACCGTGGTTTTCTACTGTGATCATCTGAAGCTCATGAGAATTGCACGTTTGAACGTTGTGGATAACCGGATCGATCATGAGTGAATTCCAGGATGATCGTGAGCCGTTGTGCGCCATGAATTCCTGGTACTCATGGCCGCTTAAATGAGTAAAAGATTAGGAAAGGAAATCATTCAAAAGAAGCCATTTTTAGCAGCTTGATAGGTCCGAACAATCAACCAGATGTCTGAATAAATACCTACTTTGTGGGGCCAAATTCACACAGTGATGCGTTGTTCTATAAGTATAAAACCCTGACTTTGTAGTACCTCACCAAACATCTACATTGCTTCGTCTTTTTGGCTGACATATGCCAATTCATCCAATGAAAAAACTATCCAGCAGTTGCACCGCAATTCACCATCCAGTGTTTTTGAGAAGCATCAATTATTTTCATAAGATGTTTTGTCATTCCTCAGTGTTGTTGTGTGCTGAATTAGTCAAGTTTTATCGGTCCATGAAGATTGTTAAAGTATGACTTGGGAGATGATGGTCCCTATGTACTCGGGACAGATGTTAGAATACGGATTTCATGGGGGTGCTAACTGTGCTCATTGAGAGTTTTTGTCCGCGTGCCTGCTTCGACACCCATATGTCATCGACTCAGTTCAATTCATCAGCCATAAACTATGTCGAATGCGGATTTCATGGGGATGCTAACTGTGTTCATTGAGAGTCTTTGTCCGCGTGCCTGCTTCGACAACCATATAACATCGATTCAGTTCAATTCATCAGCCATAAACTATGTGCAATGCGCACGTTAGTTCCAGCTGCTACAGTTTTGATTCCCGGATAGTGAGAGAGTGTAAAGTGTTGGGTAGAGTGGTTGGACGGCGCGTTGTTCGCTTCAGAGGAATCAGTTCACAAAGTGCGGACAATCACGACTAGGTTCCGGTGAGGCGATGTCCCTAGGCAGGTCTTGTCTCTCCGCTTTCAGAAGACCATTTTTGATTACACATGGGTGACACTTCAGGGGAAGATTCAGCCCAGCTTCTAGGTGATCCCTAACACCAGCACATGGTTGAGACGTAAGGCTGACAGTTTTTTCATTTCTGCTCCCTTCTCTTAGTGCGCATCTACACTAGACCAGTAGCTCAGCCTACAGGCTTGAAGGAGCAGATCGGATATATTCGCATAGGTGTAACCTGTGCATGCGGCAGTCAGAGCTGTTGTCAGAGCAGACACTTGACATGGTCAACGATTAAAACAGCCATCAGCCATACAAATTGATCTTCCAGCATTCTAAATCACATGGTTAAATGGCTTTGACACCCTTAGTTTAATCCACCCGTTCTTTTTAAGCCAGTTAACTCATATGTTTACCAGAATGTAAATCGTAGTGAAGTTTTTTGTATTATTTTCCGGACACAACTTGTTTTTTTTTAAATGCGGCCACATTTTGTCCGCCCGGCTTAAGACAGTGAGAAGAGCCGAAAGTGTCATTATCAAAGTACAGCTGACGTCGAAGGGTAGCGTCCAGCCAGGCACTTATGATCCAATGGAGACAGCTGGAATACCAGATATTAGGGTCACAGTAACGTCTCGTTAGCCTTTGAATCCATTTAACGAAAGCTGGTCATTTGTACCCAGTCTTTCCCCAGAATTCATGCGCCTGCTCCAACACCGCCGTATCGTGCCGCACACAAACATCACGATGTCAAATGGTACAAGCGAGTGGATAATGGTCGCTGCTGTAGGTGCATTAGAATTTGCGGGAGTGAATGCTGTAGCAGATTCGGTTACGGCATCTGAGCATCCCACAAGATTCAATGGACTTTCAAATTTCCACGAGATTTAGTGCCACTAAGGGAATCGACAATCCAAGGGAGAGCACAAACTAGGTACTATAAATGCACTTGCGTCGATTTGTTCTTCGTGTAAATCAATCACCGATTGGTGATATCTGAACTAAATGGTTCATGCACATTTGTTCGCTTGTACATGTCGGAAAATCTGGCCTGAGTTGCGTTCACACCTTGGATCCAAATTTCGTCTTGGTCGGTAGACATCAATGGGCGGGAAACGCATAAAAGCTGTGATTTTCGTCAAGGTAGTACTGCCCTATGTATAAGTGTGGCTTCGTCATTGAATCGCATCAGGTGCACTATTCTACTTATTGGATCCGTTAATTGGTTGGTGGCTGGGTATTCTCTGCTCCCGCTAAAAAACATTAGGTTTGAATTTAGTCACGGTTTAGTCAAACGTTCGATGTGATACTTTGGTTAAGTCTGCGCCGTCTGTATATTATCCCTGAATAAATGGATCGGTTGAACACTTCAACTAGAAATTTGATTCAAACTCATTCTTTGGATCATATCTGTTTGCCTCTTCTCGTAATGGTGTCCACTGATCACGCAAACAGTTGAAATGTCACTCAAGTGCAATCTTCTGGCCTCCTGTGGTTACGTGTAGGCGTAGCCATCATCAGTAAGATAATGACTGTGATACTATGTTCGTTTAAAGTTGCTTTAGTAAATCGATAAGACTCGACCGAGACAACACTGTCGGTTCGTTAGGGAAGACAGACGTGAAGGGTTGGCTGAGTCATGAGTGAACATGAATAGGTCATAAGAAAGTTTCTTTGTCATACAGAGAGTGACCCCAAGTCGTACCAATTTCGACTTAGACCCATCAAACTCCTTATCCAGTTAATAATAAAATAGTAATCGTTCAGCTGTAGCACCCCTTCGGTGCCTAGCTGCCATGCCACACGAAGGAGGCACGAGGGCTGGGATACTGTCAGGTCGCCCAAGCCTAGACAGGGGAAGTCGAGAGGCAGAGATCGGGTTCGAACCACGGACCTCCCCGTCAGTAAATTCGCGCTCTTACCACTCGGTCCATCTCGCCCCCTCATCGGCCTATCGGCTCTCTGTGCTAACATCATGCGTAGTCCTTATCCAGTTACCTCATGGAAAATACGCACCAGATTTTTGGAAACAGACCACTTGGTCGGCCAGAAATCATCCCATAGTCAACTCTGGGTAATCTGATTGTGCAAGCCACGAGTTGATACCTGCACATATTCAGCAGGTTTGTCATCCTGTTGTACGTACAAAGTGCAATTTTATGTAACAGTCGTGATTGCATTCAGAGATGTACAGAACGGCGGTTTTCCTACATAACGAATTCATTCACGAATTTGGAAAGTTCCGCAAAAAGTGTTAATATTAGGCGGGTTGTCACTCGGAGGAGGTAACACTTTAGAAGGGTCACTGTGTGGGTTTGCAAGAAAATCCAATCAGCGCCATCACAGAGCGCAATAACGGTCTAGTGTTTGAATTCAGTAGTTAGTTATGTTTGGTTATTTCTCCAAGACTTGTAATTTCTAATGACACTAGTGTGTGAAAACGGAAATAAAGCGACATTAACAAGTTCTGTTTCAATCGACGATTCGTGAAGAGTTTGGTTATTTCTCCAAGGCTTGTAATTTCTAATGACACTAGTGAGTGAAAACGGAAATAAAGCGACATTAATAAGTTCTGTTTCAATCGACGATTCGTGAAGTCATTCTGTACCTGGAAGCAGTGGCACACGGTACAGCTCTTTCTTCCTTGCTAGAAATTATCAACAGTATGCATCTCGTCGCCTAGCCTTTGACTACCAGCCGGAAGGCAAGGGGTACGAATCGCCATGAAGATTCTTGTGATGAACTTTACTGGCAATTCTCATTGGGAACATAAAGCTGCGCATCATCTCTTGACTCTTCGGCACAGGCTAATTTCACGTAATGTATGAACTTTCTAATGAAAATTTCGAAGTCCCATCAACGACCCCCCAACGACCGTCGAATAAGCTTTCAAATCAGACTAGGTCAGTGTTTCAAGCGTGAACTGAGTCTGTTCGACGATGATCTTAATCAACAAGTCAGGTGACTGATCGTTCAGCTGCAGCAACCTTTCGGTGCCTAACTGCTACGCCACCAGAAGGAAGCACGAGGGCTGGCATACTGCCAGGTTGCCCAAGCCTGGACAGAAGAGATCAAGAGGCAGAGGTCGGGTTCGACCCAGGACTTTCCAGTCAGTAAATTTGCGCTATAACCAACAAGCAATCTTGTCTCAGTTGACTAATCAGTGCAGAATAATCACCTGGCAAGGTAGACGGTTAGCTTTCTATACGAATTGACGTCAGTTAGTCTTTGGATTTGCAATGTTCACCTTGTTCTGAAGGATATGGAGTGAAATATTTCAGTACAAGATGGTCCATTTCCAGATATCATTGTGTGAACCTCAGGCAAAGCGGAAGAGACCGTAAATAGTGCGAGTACGTTTGGTGTCGCATTACACGATTCGCGAAGCCTAGGATGTTCTGACCGCCTTGTAGAACGGCTGGACGCTTCTTCTTTTGAGCGATTGGGGACTGACGAGAATCACCTTTGGATGGGAACTACAGTTTGCTTGATACATCACCAAGCTGACTTTTTGGAAGATAGAAGTCCACCAGGTCGTCAGAGAGTAATCGGATTCCGGTAAAGTGGACAGTAATTTACCAACGGAGACTTGATGCAAGAAAGGCAACTGTTTCAGCTGAGTTCCTTTTTCTTTGTGGCGAGTCACTTCATCGGCGAGTCACTTTGGGCAGTTTTCTCTAGCCAGTTTTGACAAGTATCACATTACCTAAGTAACTGGTCCCAAAAGCAGCCAGTAACTTTAGGTTCAACAGGTGACATATACTGGATGATGTGATCTGAAACCGTTCAGCTGTAGTGCCCTTTCAGTGCCTAGCTGCCATGCCACCCGAAGGAAGCAGAAGGCCTAAGATACTGGCAGGTTGCCCAACCCCAGAGAAGAGAAGTCGAGATGTCCTAAGGGAGAAAGAATCAGTACATTCTGAAAGTCTTCAGTGGATTTGTTGATGGAGAATGTTCAAAGGATTTAAGAGGGTTTGAATACGCATCAACCAGCCATCCGTCTCCTAAATGAGTTGGAAGGAGGTCGAGGCGGTTGAACACTGTGATCTACTAGTCCATAATGCAAAGGTTTGGGATTTCGCGATGTGTTTATCGACCAGAATCTGTCAGTGTAATTCGTACAATAAACTCAGACATCACTGTGCAAACAAACTGGAGGGAAAAACTTACCAGGGTCACAATTTCACCAGCCTGGAACCAATAACAGCCATCCTATTCAGAGGTTCAAAGTAGTAATTGTTCGCAACAGAGGCCTTTCGGAAGACAGGCTACTTTTTTCAGTCATACAAGCAACCTCCGTCGGTCATGATCAGGTGTTAACTTCCCTTGGAAAAGGCGCCGAGAAACCTGTTTCCCCGTGACGTCCTTTCTACAGTACGGGCTGTTTTGTTGTATGGCTGTGAGACTTGGCCTATTCGAGCAGCGGAACTGAGACGTCTTCAGGTGTTCGACAATCGTTGTCTCAGAACCATAGCTCGTGTG